AAAAGGAAAAATGTGAACGTAACTGGACTTTTCTAAGTACATACAGTAATGCTGCAGTAAGCCTATTCAAATCTTTTTTTGCTGAAACATACGAAATTAGAAGTGAACGTCTTTAATTTTGCATCATTGAATTTCATAGCAGTTTTACCATCAACTTAAATGAATTGTTTGGAAATAATTACGGTCATCTGACATGAAACTTATTTCTTTTGCAGTTGCCAGGTTGAAGTTTTTGTTTTGGTGGGTTTTTTAGATTTGTCTTCATCTAACTTTTGGAAATGCACAAAACAATAAAGCTCACTGACTAGAACAGAGAACTGAATCCAAACTTCAGAGACATTAAAAATTAAGTTTTGATGATCTGTTACTTAAAAGGCAATCATAGCTGTTACATTTAATCCATGAGAGGTTCATATCTAAAGTGCTGCTCAATTGCACAACCCAGCTAATGAATTGCACTACCTCTGAATGCATACAGCCCATTTGCATTAGTATTTAGAGGCTTTGATATAGTGATTTATATATATACATATCTTAAACCCCCATAAAAATATAAAATACACACATGTATATGATTATTATAATCAGTGACTGCAAAGGAAATGGGTTTAAATGGTTATCGAAGTTCCTTAAATTAAGCTGAACATTGCTTCCCAGGAGTAAGCTACTCCGATTGAATGTACACCAAATTAGAAAGCCGAACTGTGAACTAGTGACTGCCGAGACTGACTGCTTTCATAATGTTTTGAACTCCCACATCCAGTTGCAAAGATCTGAGCAAGACACGCTAAGAAACACTTAGGCACTGCAGCATACAGTAGACGTTTCTCATGGAAGGTTTCACTTATTTACATCTACAACTGGTTGACATTATTAATTTCAAATCCAAGCCAAGGTGCTGATCATTCTCAATTTCAAATGATTTTCACAAGACATCATGCTCAGCACCTTGGAAAATCAATTATAGGAGTATTATCACTGCAACTCATAGACAAAGGCTACTCTTGTGACTAAGGCAGGACAAAATCAGTCTCTTGCCTGGAGTCAGATACTTTAAACTCTATCTGTTGACACTCTACTGGTTCAGGAGTCATCTTTCCTTTTCAGTTTGCACTTACCACTTCAGATATCATCAGTATTCAGATACTCAATGTTTTTTGGGAACAAAATTTTATTAAATATAGTTGAAATGTCACTGTGTTAGTTATTTACTTGGCTGACAAAATAAGAAACAGAACAGATTCCAGAACAAAGGGGTCTACCTGAAGGGAAAAAATATATATATACACATTTGAAAACTCAGACTGAATTAGACTTTATTTTGTTCTATTTCTATCTGCTTCTCAAATAGTTATGTTCAGAAAGCTATGAAATGAGCCACCTTTTCTATGGCAACAACACTAAAAAAAATATTAAGTTTCCATCATCCAATTTAATTCTATTGATGCGATCTTATGGTAGCGATGATGCTTAAAATGTTTCAAGCTCAAAATGCCTTAGCATTTCCCTCCCACTGAAAGAATTTAGTTTGTATTATTTTAAACTCACAGTTGAAAGACTCTTATGATACAACTGTAGTGTATACTGTAAGCACACAATTGTCAGTATTAATAGTACTTCGAAAAGGTCAGGCTCCGATAATATAAAAATGGAAAGCAGAATAGAAAAGGAATACTGCTAAGATATATAATATTTTATGGCTGTTGGATATGCTATAAAAGTACATGCTTCTACTATGCATGAGCAGTTGCTTTCCGTTACTGAGTATGCATAATCATCACCTGGAGATATGCAGCACCAAGTGCTTGAAGTACATGTTCAGATCTCCTTCTTGTTCATAAATTTAGAGGTCAGTATTTTTTCCCCTTGAAAGTCGCTCAATTTTTGGAAATGAAATTATCTCTATATATCAAGGGTCAAGTGGGTGGGTCCCAGGCTCCTAATTTCACTAAGTGGCTGAAAAAGAATCCCGGCTAAAGTCTGTAGGGTGCTTAGGTCTTCTGAAAAGAAGATTTTAAAAGATGAAATCTGAAACTGTGCATGAAGAAACAGAAAGAAAATTCAGGAAGTACTTCCAGGGGTAACAGACCTAGATCTATATCCATGGCTGATTGTGTGTTCTTACTTGTTCTATATACTAAAGAAGAGAGTATAGTTTTTTCTAGAGAAGATGATGTATTATAATAGATTAACAGTGATAGAAATAAAGTTTACAGAGATTTATTTAGTAAAGGTGCAATATTATTGGAAAAATTTTGAAGATCAAAAATGACAAAGAAAGTGAACATAAATTTGATTGTGGCATTACTTTCCCCTTTACAACTCTGTTTTGGACTTCAGTAGCAGGAGCTGATGTGAATGACTAAAATATAATTGAAAAAGCACTGAGTAACTTTGTCTAAGTTTTGGGGTTTTTTTTAAGTGAAAGGTGTAAAAGGAGTAGATGTCCTAAAAAACAGATGCATTTGTTAAGCAGGCATGCATACTTCTTACTGATTTTTTAATACTGAAGAAAATGTCCAAAGTAAGTTTCTTGGCTAGCAGCCTGCTCAGTTAACAAACTGCTCACCTGTATATCTTGAGAACCAACTTTCATGAAATACTTCAATCTCCGAGGACACTGAAGGCCCTGAGTTTACAACTAGGCACGGCAATCAAAGTTCTTTATCACCAGTATACAAGTTTAAAAAAAAAATTTAAAAAAAAATGGAAAAGAAGGGAGAGTTAATAAAAGGCAAGCCTAGGAAGAAGCTAGCAGAAAGCTGTGCTCATTGTGTATGCAGTAATGTAGAGCAATGAGGCTGAATGGATGAAAACCTCAGACTAGCATATCATATCATAATCACTCCCTTTCCTAGGGTTTTTCTGTCGCAAACATGCACACGGTTAGGCTGGGAGGTGACACTAGAGAGACCTCTTGGTTTTTGATGTTATTACATTTTATGGGTGTGAAATTTGATAATTTCACACATATGCAACATACTAACTTCTAGTTGTTTTATCATTTTAAGACAGGTAAAATGTACACTACTGTAATTTTTCAGTCTTCCAGTCTTTATTATTTACTTATATTTACTGAAAAGCTTATTGTGAAGTCTCTTCTTGTTCATAACAGTCTGGTATTGAACATAGAGAAGGAATATAATTCAGACTAAAGTACTGCATATTTCTCTTTATCCTTATTGCAGAGAAACTCTTGAAGAATTTCCAAAAGGGGATGAGTGAAGTTAAGGAAATTCTTTATCTATAGCTTTAGTACTTACCAGCTCTATTCTTTAACTGAAACTGAAGTGAGCAGCTGTTAGCTTCCCTTCTACTAAGCACTAAGGTGGTGGACTTGAAACAATAAATAGTTAATGTTATTTGATTTCTTACAATCAGCACCCCCCAAAAAACTTCTGGCTGTGGTACCCAGAGACACAAATGGCGAGCTGTTTATGGGATCAAGTTGGATGTTTAGAAGCGTCAGTCTTTACAAAAGTTGTACGAGTATTTATTCCTACTTAAAGAGAAGTGTTTGCATGAAACAGTGTGTGTGTGCTTGTGCCTTTCCAAAAGGGAGGAAGAGGGAGGGAGAAGTGAGGGTACAGAGTTTGATACCTGTTGGCAATATGAGCAGGTTTGTGTAATGCCATTACGTGCCAGGTTGGATTGATTCCACTCTATTTAGTCTGGTACTAAATGCAAACTGTTTGAATTGAGACAGATTCAAGACACAACTGAACAGCAATGAACCACAAAGGAATTCCTGCCTATGTTAAGTGGTGTCACCTTCATGGTGGTAGGCAGTGTCTAAATAAGGATTTGAGTTAATCTCTTCTATAATAACCACATAGAAACTGCCATAGGCTTTCTGTGCTGAAGCTTTGCAGTGCCTTCTAGGCTCCCCAGCCAAGCACCGTATACAGGTCTGATACTGTCTAGCAGGGATGGTGTCTGACAGCTCAGGGCTCCCAATTGGGATGCTGCTACCCAGCAGATACTGTAGCAAAGCAGAATGTAAGGATGTGTTACTCCTCTGCCTTCCTCAAAGAGAAGGTGAAGCGTCTGGTGGAACCGCCAGTTTCAGGGGTTGACAGACTCCTGCATTTCTTCTCTGGGAGCCTTGGCAGTGAGACAACTAAAAAGCGACTGGAGCTAAGGGGCTTTCTCCCTCTCTGAAGTTTCAGCTGGGTGCATTATCTGTTTAGTCAACCACAGAAAAGGAAATAAAACAACTTGCGGGACAGGGATGACTCCTGGCTAGTTATGGATAAAGATTCATTCTCATCTCAGCTTTTAAGAGGAAGAGCAGTATTTCTGGGATGCTTTTTTCTCTGAAAGTAGGAAAGGAGGCTATCATACCATCCCTATTTATTTATCTAGGGGGTGCAAAGCTTTCGGGGAGAGGGGGGGTGAAGGTGGTGGTAAATCAGGGGGATTTCCCCCCCCCATGGGTCTTCCAGCCACCTCCTCCCTTATTTACATATCTGGCTGGTGGGTGATTTTTATTCTCAGCACGAAAACTGCAATCTATTTCAATGCATGAATGCAGCCCTGCATCTATTCAACACAGTGAAATAGCCCATAGATTTATTGTACTAAATAAGAAAACAAGGAGAAGAAACGGGTTCTCTAGCCTTGGAAGCAACCCTCTGTGAACCAAAGTCCTCCTGATCCTTTAAGGGGGAGAAGGGAAGGAAGAAAAAAACAACCAAACAACCCACTCCCCCCAAAAAAACAAAACAGGTGGAAAAATAGCCACACCACCACCACCCATCCTCCCAAGGGAATTAAAAAAAATTCTAACTAGCATCTCGTGACATTTTCATTATCAGGAATTTCAAAACATCCTATTTAATGAGCCACTACATTTCAGCCTAATACCATACCTATTAACGAGGAAGGCACTCGCACAGTGCACCTTACAACACAGACAGACACTAAGTCAAAAAGAAATCTACAGAGAAACAGCCCTCTACCAGCGAGACATAAATAATATTAATAAAATGAATACTCACTCTTTCAAGGACCAGGAAAACCTCTCGCTGACAGCCACTTCACGCACAGATTAAAAGGGTGAGGTAAAAAAAAATCAGCCAGTCCCTGTGAACAGGCAGGATTCTCCAGATTTTCTTTTCATGCTTTTTGAGGCTGCTGATGCTGGAGGAGATGCTGGTTACTTAGCGTCTCGGTTTCTGTGCCTGCATGCTAAAGTGCAGTTACTAATTTCTCCCTTTGCACAAACCAGAGGCAGCAGCACGTCTCCAGGAAAGCAGGGATATTCCAAATAAATCCACTAATTCTGGGTCTGAGCGCTCCAACGTGCCTGCCTGCCAAATGTAACTGTGAAGTGATGTGGAAAAGTGAGCTGGGAGCCTCCCCTGACAGCTCTTATTGGGCTGATTTCGGAGGCAGGTCTAGCGCTTGGAAATTCATGTAAGCAGTTTTGGGAGGTGGTTTTTCCCCCTCTCTCTCCTTCACACCCCCCCAACCCCGCCTT